AAAGATGCGACTTCTTTCAACAGTCTCGACACATGTTAGAGCAACAACAGGATTTGAAGAGTATGGCGTTGATTTCACGGATTACCTTCGCATGAAGACGTCCAGCTTGGACATCTTGAGTTCTGTCACTCTTAATGGTGTTTGCAAGATGGTCGAGTTCATTCATATCCGTCATTTTGCCGCCAGGAATATTATGGTACCGTTTTGGCAAGAAATTGGAGTGCAATTATTACATACCGACAGCAGCAAAACAAGATGCAATGACTTCACGGCAAGCGCTGGCAGTGTCTCGTCTGAAAATAACTTTAACGCCTACGGACCAGCATATAATGTCAACTTTAGAGGTACAAAAACCGAAGATAGCACAACACAGTGGTGGTATGGAGGTTATGTGAACCCTTGAGAAAATGAGACGAGTGCGATCCGACTTGGATCTATATACAATCTTGGACAAAACAGTTGAAACGTTTTCACCAAATGTATCTACATTTGGGTTGATTGTAAGGTCAGATGTTATTAGTAGGACATATCCCTGAAAAAATAAAATAAAAATAAAATAAAATGCAATAAGCAGCAACTGCATTTGCTCGGTTGCTCGGTTTTTCATAAGCAAATTTGGAAATGCTTGAGTGGCATCTTCATTTTAGTCGTGACCTGGTAGGCGACCCATTCATGTTATAGTGGTCTTTCAGGTCTTTCTGTAGTCATTGTGGAGTAGTTTTTATAGCATTTTAGATTAAAAAATCAGTTTTCTCTTCTATTTAACACTGGAAAAAATCGCGCGCTTTAAAGGTTGTAAATTTGATGTAAATATGATGTAAGTGTCCAAAATTCTGTAAATCTAATGGAAATCATTTACATCAAATTTACAGAATTTTGGACACTTACATCATATTTACATCAAATTTACAACCTTTTTTTAAAGCGCGCGATTTTTTTCCAGTGTTTATCTGTTCTATTTATCAATAAGTATTCAGTCTGACTATATAAGTGTATTTTCGTTTTGTTGACATTTTTAATTTGTAGATAATCGTATGAGGAAGTGGCTGATCCCATTAAACTGCTTATGCTTTWAATACTGTCTGACGAGTGCGTAGCACGAAACTCGGAACAGCAAAATCTTGCCTCTTTGATATTTGATATAATATATATATAATTTGTAGATATGTTATTTTTCGCAAATAAAGGTATTATTAGCATGCTGGTGAAAATTTAAGTAGTCGATTGTTTCTAGAGTTTTCCTTTTTGCTATTTACTTATTTATCAATAAGTATTCAGTCTGAGTATATAAGTGTATTTTCGTTTTGTTGACATTTTTAATTTGTAGATATGTTATTTTTCGCAAATAAAGGTATTATTAGCATGCTGGTGAAAAATTAAGTAGTCGCTTGTTTAGTAATGTTTTCCTTTTGCTATACGCTGGCTGACCGACTCATGTGTTTGGACCAGTGTAATGAGATATAATGATACTTGTGACGTCCATGTATCTGCATAATTTATTTAATGACACTGATCTCCTGAAGAATATCTCAGCTTGAAACTGCAACTAGGATAGGACTCGACAATTAGGCACTCTTTGTCTTGTGTGATAAGAATAACAGAAAAAAAAATTGAAAAAAATAATCATTTTCGAAATCATTCAAAGCTAGCTGGTTATATGCACAAATACTGTCAGGTTCAAAAAGTTGAAATSTATTTCGAAGCTAAGACCGAACAACGTCCGGCAATTAGGTAAACGAATCATAAAAGGTTGTCGAATAATCATAGGACACTTTATTTATTCATCATTTGACTTAGACGCATTCCTATTGTCTCCCCTGGTAATTCCCTATTCGTAACACCTGCTCCAGTGTCTTCAAGAACTGCTGTCCAAGTCCTGCT